CATCAGTGCCCAGCAGTGCCGCCAGTCAGTGTCACCCATCATTGTCTCCTTTGAGTGCCCATCACTGCTACATATCAGTGCAGCATCATCAGTGCCTGCTCATTAATGCCCAACAGTGCCGCCTCATCAGTACCACCTCATCAATGCTGCCTATCTTTGCCACCTCACCAGTGCCCATCAGAGCTGCCTATCAGTGTCCATCAGTGCTGCCTATCCGTGCAGCCTCATCAACGCACATCAGTGCAAGCGAAAATTTCCAGCTTGCAAAATGTTATAATAGAAACAAAGAAAAAAAATTTTCTAATTTTTTTTGTTTATCGTGCAAAAAATAAAACACCCAGTGGTGATTAGATACCACCAAAAGAAAGCTCTAAGGGTGTGAAAAAAAATATAAAAAAGTCATATGGGTACAGTGTTGCATGACCGCACAATTGTCATTCAAAGTGCGACAGCGCTGAAAGCTGAAAATTGGCCTGGGCACAAAGGGGGTAAAAGTGCCAGTAGGCAAGTGGTTAATACAGGAAGCTCTTGCACAGGAAGGAAAAAGAGTATGGGAAAAAAGCAAACTAATGCAGCCGCCACATCTAAGGTAAGCTGCAATACAGTTTTAGAGTTGACTTGTTATTTTTTACCCCTTTCCACCAAGGCCCTGGGTATTTATGCCCAGTGGGGCAGAAAGGACCACCTGACCATGGGACCCCTGTGATTTGACTGTCACAGTGGTCACATGATCGGTAGCTGCTATCTCAAGCTCCTGATCATTGGTAGAGACCGCACGCACACAGATCAGAAAGCCCTGCCAGCCATGTATGCCTATGTTTGGCATGCGGAGATTATAGCTCACCTTTGCCACCACACATGCGTTACGTGGGCAGCAAGAGGTTAATGATGGGGGCTACAGACAAAATATCCTTTTTTTTGAAAACCGATAGGAAACGCATGTAAACACATGAAAAAGATACCGGAACATACTTATTAACAAACATGGTTAGAGCAGGTACGGATGTGAATGTATAATCTGCAACGCATTACATAGATTGTCCGCGCTATATGAATACCTGTAATAAATACAGTAAATGTAAGGGCACATGTGTGAATTGGCCTATGTCTGTTGGCGTCCACACCAATATTTTCAGGGTGGCTTGGAGGAGTCTGAACATGAAATATGGCGCAGATTTTTTTTTCACGCCCTTTTGCATTCCTTTCTGCAGCAATATCGCCTGAGAAAAGTGTCCTAGTAGACACAGCCTTCACTTTGTTTTTATTGCTGATTTATCTTTCTTCACATCCTTCTCTACAGAGGGAACATTTCTCAGGCTTGAAGAGCAGCTAGTATGGAGTCATTTCCACATTGTCAGCAAAGGGCAAGATATATCAAAGAAATGACCTCCACAATGAGAGCAATCCACTTCTGGAAATGGGGCCTCATTACAGTGGGAGGTTGTACCACTGGAGCACTGCAAGAAAGAGGAGGTAGACAGCAGAATTAGCTGATAGTTCAGCTCAAGGACTTGTGCAGGGACCAGCTCTCGGGGGATGTACTTGGGCATGCAAAGAGTCCAGGCACACTTCAGTAGATGGCTTGTCATTTATACTACAAGCAGGGCCGTGGATAAGGGGGTACCACCAGTCCTCCTGCATGGGGCCCAGACCAGCAGGGGGGCCCAGGCAGCTGGGTGAATCGGATGTGGGCAGGGAAGGTGATCAGCACGGTGTGAGGGACAATTACTGGAACCGATCCCCTGTATGGCTCTCTTTGTAGCAACTGAAATCTGGCTTCTTCTCCTCTCCATCTTGCTGGCTTTCAGCTGCTGCAGTGGGAGCCATACAGGGGATCAGTTCCAGTAATTGCCCCCCTGGTGCATCTATCACCCTCCCTGTGCACCATACATTTCCACCTGCTGCCCAGGCCCCCCAGTGTCGTCCCCCCACCCCCCACAGTGCTGCTGGATTCCCTCCTCTCCCTCCCACAAATGGCTGAAAGGGGTGACAATCCCATGGGGCCACTTCTCTATTTTTCTCTTTTGTGGCCCTGACATTCCAGAGCCAAGGATTTGCTACACATAAACCGATTAAATGTCAGTTCACACCAGAGCTGTAGTGGTACGTTGCACAACCATACACAACATGAATGGAAATTCTGTAACATTGCAGTGTTGTGATTGGTGTTCACAATCAATGTTGCAATGCTATACAGCACATCCTACCGATTAAACAAAAAAAAAAATGTTTCCCCCTCCTGCCACCATCTTGTTTTTCTACACCATAATCACCAACCATGATGGAAGTGATGTCACAGGAGATAAGCACATGACACGCTGCAAGATAACGCAGGTCAGCAAAACCCCATTCATACCATAAGTAAACGCATTGCAAACGCATGGGAATTGCGCATCAATGTGTTACAATAATGTACTTTATGCACAGATCCCATAATGCTTGTACTTTGGTGTGAACTGGCCCTCAGGACCCATTACACCAGGAGCATGGCACATTTTTAAATCTGACTGCTGTTCCTTTAATCATTTTGCTGCCAGGGTTTTTTATTTTTAATTTGTACACACATACTAAAAGGCTTATTCTTTTCAGGAAAGCGTACCTAACCCCTTCATGCCTGCGACTCCCCGGCCCTTTAAAAGTTTCAGAAGCCGAGACGGGCTTTAGGGTCATGTGACCACCGTGACGCGCCATCACGGCGGTCACATGATCAGGAAAGGTCCCGATCGAAAGAGGAGACCAGGACCTTTCCGTGAGTACCAGACATGTGTGCTGGGAGCGCCCTACCCACACCGCTATGTGCAGCCCTGTTAATCCCCGGGTCCCTGACGGTGATTACTCGCTGACGCCTGGTGATTGCCGAGTATCTCCGATGGGGAGGAGAACTGTTTGTAAACAAAATAGTTCTCCTCCCTGTCAGCTCCAGCACACTGCTGTGGATGGCTGTGCACACCACAGCCATCCAAAGCAGTGTGCTTACAGTGAAGTACACAGACACAGCACCAAGTAAAACAGCACACAGTTAACCCTTTGATCGCCCCTCAGTTACCCTTCCTCCCCGGTGCCATTAGTACAGTGTCAGTGCCTTTTTTTTTTTTAGCACTGATCACTGTATTGGTGTCACTGGGGATGTCAGTGACACCAAGTCAGTTCACCCCCCCCAGTGTCAAAATGCCCGCTGCAGCCCCACTATAAGTTGATGATATCTGCCATTACTAGTAAAAATAGTGATTTTTTTTTTTTTTTTAGCAAAGACGTCGCAGAATACATTTTGGCTTAAATTTATCATAAATTTGATTTTGTTAATTTTTTTCTGGGCATGTTTAAAAGCAAAAAGTCACAAATATTTTTTTTTTTTTCTCAAAATTGTTAGTCTTTTTTTTTTTTCTATAGCGCAAAAAATAAAAAAATCGCACAGGCCAATCAAATACCACCGAAAGAAAGCTTAATTTGTGGGGAAAAAAGAAGTAAAATTCATTGGGTGCAGCGTTGCATGACTGCAAAATTGTCAGTTAAAAATAACGCAGCTCTGTAACGCAAAACATGGCCTGGTCAGGAAGGGGGGTAAATCCTCAGGAGGGCAAGTGATTAAACGTGCTTCCATCCCCATTCTATGCCTTATACTAACTATCCTATAAAGAAAAGATGCTTCTACTCACCTAATCTCTGGTCCGGTGCTCTCTGCTGTGGCACAGCAATTCTTGATTCCTTGCCTAGGGCTTGATTCCTCCTGAGATTGCTACGTCACTTTTCAGGAGGTGGTGGTGTTTTACTCAGGGGCACAGGTGCAACGCAGGATTCCCCAAGTGCACAGAAGTGCTGCAGGTCTCTCTCATGTATTCAGGCCCTGGCAAGTCTTCATATGTGGAAGGTTTCCTGGACATGCTCACAGTTCAGATGCTGTGGGATGCCGCAAGGTTCCAGGACCCAGCTGCATCTGTGTGCATGCTTGAATACTCAGCAAATTGGATCATGTGCCATTGTTTGTTTTTTTTTTTACCTTCCTCTGTATCAGCTGTGGGTCACTGTTCAGCGGTACAATTATATTCAGGCAGCCATGGCTTCCGAAAACAATGGAGATTCCTCCGTCCACACTGTTGGTGGATGTGGATGGGGCAATAATTTGACTTTCTCTCATTCAGCCTGTGGATTTTGCATACATAAATGAAGCTGTGTATGGCTCTCTCTCCTGGGGCCCAGTACAGGCCTTTTGTCATGGGGCCTCCACTTAATAGGAAGCAGAGAAGTAAGAGGTGTCTGCTAGATCTCAGCTCTAACATTACACTCTCCAGGCCTTTTAAAGTACAAATCCCTGCGTAAACCATTTAAAAAATCTGACACATTGGTTTGAGGGATGAAGATCGATAGCATACCACTGACAGTGAAGAAGTCCAGGTCTGCTGGCGATGGCGGACTCTCTGAGCACTGGACTCTTTTCAACGAAGTGGTAGGTGAGCGTCCATTATACTACCAAACCTTCCTTTGCTGAAGCAGTCGGATATACAGGCCCAGGTCCACCTATTGTTGTCAAGTTCCGTTCATTTCAGAGGACATCTTCTATCAATTGAAATTGATAGTAATAGTAATATGACAGGCGGAAGGTGGTTCTCTCGTTCTGGGAGGACATCATATGACTTCCTCCCATTCTCACTGTGCATGTGCGGCTCAGGGAGCGTGCAGCGCGGCAGTCGGCGGCGAGCTGTGTCCCTCGGACACAGCGGATCACCGATCACAGAAAGAGCCAAAGATGTCGGCTCGGTCATGTGATCAGTTGTGTCCAATCACAGCTGATCACATGTAAACAGGGAAATGCCGGTTATCGGCATTTCTCTCCCCACGAGCTGTCACGCTGACAGCTCGAGAGGAGAGGAGAGCCGGTAATCGGCTTTCCGCGGAGGGGACATGTACACAGATCATCAGAGCACTGATGATCAGTGTGCCCTGATGATCTGTGTTGCCCCAGTAGCGCCACCTGTCAGTGTCCATCAGTGCCTTATATCAGCGCCTCGTGCCAGTGCCCATCAATGCCACATATCGGTGCACACCAGTATACATCAATGCCACATATCAGTGCCCATCTGAGCTGCCTTTCAGTGTCACCCATCACTGCCAGTCAGTGCCACCTATCAATGTCAATCAGTGCCACCTATCAGTGCCAGTCAGTGCCGCCTAACCGTGCCAGTCAGTGCCGCCTAACAGTGCCAGTTAGTGCCGCCTATCAGTGCCGTGTATCAGTGCTGCCTTTCAGTGCCCATCAGTGATGCCTGTCAATGCCCATCAGTGCCACCTACCAGTGCTTCCTCATCAGTGCTCATCAGTGCCACCTATCAGTGTCCATCAGTGCAGCATATCAGTGCCCATCAGTGCAGCCTCATTAGCTCACATCAGTGAAGGAGAAAAATCACTTATTTCCAAAATTTTATCACAAAAACTAAGAAAAAAACATTTTTTTCCCCAAAATTTTCAGTGGTTTTTGGTTTGTTTAAGAAAAAATAAAAATCCAGAGGTGATTAAATACCACCAAAATAAAGCTCTATCTGTCAAAAAAATTTATAAATATTTCATATGGGTACAGTGTTGCATGACCGCGCAATTGTCATTCAAAGTGCGACAGCGCTGAAAGCTAGAAATTGGCCTGGGCAGGAAGGGGGTATAAGTGCCCGGTAGGCGAGTGGTTAAAGAAAACAATCAAAAGACATATATTTTTTCAGTTTTTTTCCTTTTAAGCCTGGGTTCACACTGATGCGGTCCGGAACTCACTTTTCTGTGCGAATTCCGCACCGCATCAGAATCGCACCCCGTTCATGCAAACCGCTGCACATGTATATGTTAACCCCTTGACGCCGCCCCCGCCTCCCGGCCCTTTAAGAGATTCTGACGCCGGGAGGCGGGGCGGTGGGGGCGTGGTTTAGGAATCATGTGACCGCCGTGATGACGCGTCACGGTGGTCACATTATCGGGAAAGGTCCCGTTCGAAAGAGCGGAGCTGGGCCTTTCCGTGAGTACTACACATGTGTGCTGGGAGCGCGCAGGGCGCGCGCTCTCTCAGCACATATGTATTTAGTTCCATGGACGCAAATGTGCGGCCGCTCGGCATCTAGGCCCAGACGCCGGGCGGCCGCACATTTGCGTGCGGCCGGCGCAAAGGGGTTAAGTTAACAAGACCCAGAAGCCAGTCTGCAAAATGCAGTGCGATGTGGAGAATCGGATCGCATAGGTGTGAATACCCATGCGATACGATTTTAGTGCGGACCCAAAAAAGGGTCCTTCACGTTTTTGGTGCTGTGCCAATAGAACCATGCAAAATCTATGGCTCCATTTGCACCACACACAAGTCACATGTGATTTGCACAGGAATGCAGTGCGGTTCCTGTGTGAATCGCATGCAATATTATTATTATTTCAGGTACTTATATAGCGCCATAAATTTACGTAGCACTTTACATATATATCATACATTCACATCAGTCCCTAACCCTCAGGGGGCGTAGAATCTAAGGTCCCTAACTCACATTCATACATACTAGGGACAATTTAGACAGGATCCATTTAACCTACCAACATGTCTTTGGAGTGTGGGAGGAAACCAGAGTACCCGGAGGAAATCCACGCAGGCACAGGGAGAACATGCAAACTCCAGGCAGGTGGTGCCATGGCTGGGATTTGAACCAATGACCCTAGTGCTGCCAGGCGAAAGTGCTAACCATTTAGCCACTGTGCTGCCCCAATATACTGCACCGCACATATGTGAACCCGGGCTTGGTACTAAGCATGTTGGTCTGTTAATGGTTAAGAGCGGTTCTGTTTGATATTGAAGGTTAAAGTTAATTTCATAATTAAAATGGATTTAAACCCAATAAAGGGGCCGCGGCCTAAACTTTTCCACAATCCTTGTGTGATTATATTATTATTTAGGTATGTTCTTATGGAATCCTGGGAGTTAATTATTATTATTATTATTATACAGTATTTATAAAGCGCCAATACTTCGCTCAGCGCTGTACATTACAGAGGGGGACAGAACATGTGACAGAACAATACCAATACAATGCAATACATGAGGGGATCGAGGGCCCTGCTCTTTCGAGCTTACAATCTAGGAGGGAGGGGGTGGTGGCACAGGAGGAGATAGCTGTGGGGGGATGGAGTGGTAGGAAGAGTGGAGGAGGTCGGCAAGTTAGCAGGGGGTGGGTAGGCTTCCCTGAAGAGATGGGTTTTCAGGGTGCGCCTAAAGGAGAGGAGAGTAGGTGATAATCTGATGGGTTGGGGCAGGGAGTTCCAGAGGATGGGTGACACCCTGGAGAAGTCCTGGAGGCGGGCATGGGAGGAGGAGACCAGGGAACTAGAGAGAAGGAGGTCTTGTGAGGAGCGGAGTGTGCGTGCTGGGCAGTACTTGGATATTAGGTCAGTGATGTCGTTCGGGGCAGTATGGTGGACAGCTTTGTACGTCAGCGTTAGGATTTTGAATTTGATCCGTTGCGCAATCGGAAGCCAGTGGAGGGATTGGCAGAGGGGGGTGGCGGAGACAGAGCGGTTGGAAAGGTGAATGAGTCTGGCAGCCGTATTCAGGATCGACTGAAGCAGGGATAGCCAGCGGCGAGGCAGGCCAGTGAGGAGGGAGTTGCAGTAGTCGAGTCGTGATATGATGAGGGAGTGGATGAGCTGTTTAGTGGTTTCTGGGTTAGGAACGTGCGATTTTGGCGATGTTGCGGAGGTGGAGTCTGCACGAGTTTGTTAAAGATTGGACTTGGGGCTGGAAGGATAGGTTGGAGTCCAGAATGACACCCAGTACTCTGGCCTGCGGGGGGGTTTGATGGTAGCGTTGTTGGACGTGACAGAGAAATCAATGGGGGGTGGTGTCCGGGCTGGGGGGAAGACAAGAAACTCGGTTTTGGAGAGGTTCAATTTAAGGAAGTGGAGCGACATCCAGTCTGATATGTCGCTCAGTAGGTGTGTGATTCGGGCTGAGACCAAGGGGGTGAGGTGGGGGGTTGAGAGATAGATTTGTGTGTCGTCGGCATAGAGGTGGTAATTGAAGCCGTGAGAGTGTATGAGTTGGCCAAGGGAGGAGGTATAGATGGAGAAGAGAAGGGGCCCGAGGACAGAGCCTTGAGGGACCCCAACAGAGAGGGGGAGTGAGGGGAGGTGGTAGCATTATAGGTAACGCTGAAGGAGCGTTGTGACAGGTAGGATGAGAGCCAGGAGAGAGCAGAATCTCTGAGGCCGAGGGAGTGTAGTTTTTTGAGGAGGAGGGGGTGGTCGACTGTGTCAAAGGCCGCAGAGAGGTCAAGGAGTAGGAGCACTGAATAGTGGCCATTAGCTTTGGCGGTTAGCAGGTCGTTGGAGAGTTTGAGTAAGGCAGTTTCGGTGGAGTGTAGGGGACGGAAGCCGGACTGTAGGGGATCGAGGAGGTTGTTGTCGTTGAGGTGAGAGCATAGGCGGGTGTAGACTAGGCGCTTGAGGAGTTTAGATGTAAATGGGAGCAGGGAGATGGGTCTGAGGTTGTTCGGGTCATTGGGGTCCAGGGAGGGCTTTTTAAGTATGGGGGTGATGTGTGCATGTTTCAGAGGGGAGGGGAAAGTGCCTGAGGAGAGGAGAGATTGAAGATGTGGTGAGGGAGCGTAGGATGGAGGAGGAGGAAGGTCGTAGGAGTTGTGAGGGGAAAGGGTCGAGGGGGCAGGTGGTGAGGCGGGCATCAGAGAGGATCTTGGAGACTTCCTCGATGGTAGTAAGGTCAAAGGTGCGGAGTGTGGGGGGAGCTTCAGTATGAGGAATTTAGGGTGGGGTGGAAGAGGAGGTCAGAGCAGTGGTGGGGCCGTGGAGAGGGGTGATGAGGGGGTAGCTGAGTGAGGGTAAAGGGGGTTGGAGAGAGTTTGAGCAGCGACGAAGTCCCTGCGGGTTATGTCGAGGGGGAGGGGGGATAAGGGGGTAGCTGTGTGAGAGGGGACGGGTTGAGAGGGCGTGTGAGTTGCGGCAATGTCCTTGCGAATTGTGTCAATCTTGTTTTTGAGTGATTGGCAATCTCAAGGGCAGTGAGTGAGGTGCTGGGTGGAGGTGGGGGTGGAGAGAGTAGAGTGCTGAAGGCAGAGAAGAGTCGGCGAGGATTGGAGGAGAGGGCCTTGATGAGGGTCAGAAGTAGGCCTGTTTGGCAGCATGGAGGGAGGAGGTGTAGGTGCGGAAGGCAGATTTATAGCGGGTGAAGGCTTGTTGGGATTTGGTTTTGCGCCATAGTCGCTCCAGGGCACGACTTTGTCGTTTGAGGGTTTTGGTGTGATCAGTCTGCTAGGGCTGGAGCGGTCGGGGTCTGATGTTGCGTGTGGTTAAAGGCGCTAGTGAGTCAAGGGCTGTTGGCAGCGCGTTGTTATAGGCAGTCATAGCCAAGTCGGGCAGGACAGGGGGAGGATGCGGTCCTGGAGTTGATCAGCTGCAGAGTGGAGGGGGGCAGGGTTAAGGTTGCGAAGGTTACAGCTGGTAGTAGTGTGACATTTGGAGGGGTAGGCGTTGGAGGACGAGGAGATAGAGAAGGTGATCAGGTTGTGGTCAGAGAGAGGGAAGGGGGTGTTAGTGAGGTTGTGGGGAGCGCAGCGGTTGGAGAAGACAAGGTCGAGGATATTTCCGTCGGAGTGGGTGGTGGATTGTATGCACTGTGCAAGTGCAAAGAGAGAGGTTAGGTGGAGGAGACGGGCTGTGTCTGGGTTGTCGAGGTTGACAGGGATGTTGAAATCCCCAAGGATGATGGTGGGTAGCTCAGAGGAGAGGAAGAAGGGTAGCCAGGAGGAGAAGTCATCCAGGAAGCGGGGTATGGATCCAGGAGGCCGGTATATCACAGCAATCTTCAGGGGGGTTGGGGAGAATAGTCGGACGCAGTGGGCCTCGAAGGAGGAAAAGGATAGGGAGGGGGGGGTTTGGGAGGACTCGGAAGGTGCTCTGCGGTGACAGGAGCAGACCAACCCCACCACCTTTACGACCGTTAGGCCTGGGTGAGTGGGTCCAGGTGAGACCTCCGTAGGAGAGTGCAGCAGGGGAGGTAGAGTCAGTGGGCTGGATCCAGGTTTCCGTGATCGCTAGGAGGTTGAGGGAGCGGAAACAAAGAGGTCGTGGATGGCGGTAAGCCAAGTAATGGGGTGTACAATCCCATGCAATATAATGCAAGACCATTGGCTGACGTGGTGTGATGTGCAGAAGCTGATCGCATAGGTGTGAATACCCATGCGATACGATTCTAGTGCGGACCCACAAAAGGGTCTTGCTCCTTTTGGGTGCGGTGCGATTAGAGCCATACAAAATGTACATCTGGAATCGCACAACATACAAATCGCATGTGATGATTTGCACAGGAATGCGGTCTGGTTCCTGTGTGAATCACATACGATGTACTGCACCACATATA